CGGCTGCCGTGACCGTCCCTGCCGCAGGTGCAGTCTGTCTGGTAGCTCTCAGGTCAGGTCTGCGGAGGTCCAGGACTGGGCGTGGCCACTTGCCCTTGGCATGTGACCAGGAAGCCAGTGGTGCCCAACCTTGGTGGGGTCTGCCCTCAAATGGCCATGTCCTCTGCCACCCACTGCCAAGGGACCCTTGGCCCGAGTCACCTGGGCTTAGGTCGCGTGTCCTCTGTCCTGCCTGCCCCCATGCCCTGCTGCCCCCCAGCTCCGTTCCCCATCCTCCCTCCCCCCTTTCCTCCTCGGTCTTCCCTGCCTCCCCTAAACCTCTCCCTCTCTCGCCCCACCCTCTGTCTCCACCCGGCTGTTCACCCAGGCCCACGCTACTGTTTCTCCCCCAGCCCCCTCCCGCCCCCACCCAGCTTTTTCGCACCCCCTCGCCTGGGCCCCCGAGCCTCCCAGCACTCCGGCCTGTGGGTGCGGCCCCGCCCTCTGCGCCTCCCAGCACTCGCCTCCCCCACGCCCTCTCTGGCCGCTGGCCCTGGGCACGCTGCCTGGGTCTGCTGCCTATCCAAGTGCTGTGTGGAGGTATCCGCGGATCCCGCCCATCTGCAGCCACGTGCCCGCCCTGTCCTGGGCCACTGTCCTCGGGACTGGGGTGGTCCGGCTTCTCTGGTGTGTTGTCCTGGGCGTGCGGGCGGGGCTCGGCCAGGGCTGTCCTGTTGAGTTTGAGGCTGCATTTGGGGTCCGTGCGTGCCTTCCAGAAGGGAAACTGAGACTGAGCTCTCTAACTGGGTTGGAGCCCCTGTGTGTGTGTGCGTGTGTATTTGTGTGTGTGTCTGTGTGTGTCTCGCCTGTCTTTATGTGTATTTCTGTATATTTTAGTGTGTGTCTCTGTATCTGTGTGCAGTTTTGTGTGTGTCTTTGTGTGTTCTCTGTGTGTGTCTGTGGGTGGCGGGGGCGGCTGGGCTGCTGGGGTGGGACTAGCGACAGAATCTCAGGACCTCCGTGTGACTGTCTGTTGATGGCCACAGTCACTGCTGTCCCCCGAGCTCAAGCCTGTGGGCAGAGTTAGTATGGAGGGGGACTGGAAGGGGCAGCAGCCTTGGACTCCAGACAGGAGTGTGAGCCTCTGCCCCAGGAAGGCAGGGGTCCCGGGTGCCCTGAGGGAGAACCGGGCTGTGTCAGTGTGGGGGAGACGCACCTGCCTGAGATCGGAGCTGCAGGAGTGCGTGGTGGTGGCCAGCCCGTCCTGGGGTCTTGGCCGTTGTGCCCCTTTGCCAGCCAGCCTGGAGCGAGAGCCGGGCTGCACCTTGGGGGCCCTGGGTGACGTCCTCCTCCTGCCAGCTGGGAGTGAGGCCCGCCTGTCGGAGCCACGTGCGTGAGCGCCTCTGGGTCCTGTGTGTGTCAGCCGTGTGTCCTTGGCCATCCTGCAGCTCAGCTGGGACCCTGCTGGCGCTGGGGAACCCGGGCCCCGCGCTCCCCTGCGCTGCTCCCTGGGCCCCATATGGAAGGTCACGCGTGGGGGTCGCTGCTGCAGGAGTTGATTGTTGGAGGAGCCGGAGGCTTGGTGGGGGCGTGTGGTGTGACTCAGCTCTGGGATCCCACCCAGGGGTGGCCCGCACCCAGGCCTCTGAAAGTTCCCCCCACCCTCCGCATCGTGGCCTAGACTAGCAAGGGGGCACAACGGCCAAGACCTCCTCCTCCGCCCAGCAGCCTGTCTGGCCTGCTCCGGGTCTGACAGCCCCACTGTTGCGTCCTCTCAGTGACCCCCAAGCCCCCGTCCCCCAGTGCAGTGGTTTTTAGAGTCTCACCACCATTGAGCTCACCTGTCCTCGGGGCAGCCCCCTGGCTGGCCAGGCTGGGGTCAGCGCCGTCGTATGGATGAGGGCTTGGAGGCCCTGGTGTGGTCGATGGCGGCCCGAGGCAGGAAGGACAGGTGGTGCAGGAGGGTGACCGCCACAGGCTCCTTGCGAGGGCCTGCTTGCAGGACTGGCCCCTGGTCGGCCACTGGACCTCAGCTGGAGACGTCCCTGTGTGGCGAGGTTGTGTAGTGCGCTAGGGGTGCCACAGCCCCTGTACCGCCTGTCTCCATTGCTCTCCTGGCCTGTCTGGTTTGCGGGGTCCCCATCTCTGGCCGGGATCGGGGGCGTTATTGGTAGCGGGTGCCTGTGTGCTCTGTGCCCGCAGAGGCCCCGGGCTTGGAGTCCTGAGTGGAGTCCCTTGCAGGGCGGAGGCGCTGTGTGTGCTTGCCGTGTTTGTGGCTGGGGCACCTCCTAGGAGGAGGAGGGAGGGGACCCCAGCAGATGCCCCTTGTGGATGGCTGTGGCAGCCACAGTGCCGTGGAGCCCCGTGGGCGCCATGGGCTCTGATGTCTAGCCCAGGAGGGGGGCAGGTGAGGGTCTCTTGGGGTCACAACCCAAGTTCTGGGTCCTCCCTTCCTCCCTGGCCTCTGACCCCCCGGCTGCCCTGACTTTTGGGCCCCTTTGCACTCAGCACACGGCGGGGTCAGGCTACAAGCTGCCCGCTTGAGGGCTGCAGTCTGTGTGGGTGGGCGGTCTCCCTGGGTGCCGGGAAGTGCCGAGTTCTGTCCTGTCTGGGCCGTGAGCTCAGGACCTGTGGGGAGGGCACAGAGATGCAGGCCGGGCAGTGGGTGGATGGTCCTGCGGCTGGGTTCCCCCCGCCGCCCGGAGCTTAGCCCCAGCGTGGTTGCTTCTGTTCACAGCAGGATGATGGTCAGGACAGGGAGAGGCTGACCTACTTCCAGAACCTGTCCAAGTCCCTGCTGTCCCTCCTGGTGCTGCTGACCACGGCCAACAACCCGGACGGTGCGTGGGGCTGGGGTGCGTGTGGGGCGAGGGGTCCCTGGGGGCGGCGAGCCTCGTGGGTGGCTCTGGGGTGCGAGCCTGGCGGCTAGCGCGTAGGCCGCTCTACCAACGGGAGGGGAAGTGGGGGGCTTTCCCTCCCTCTCCCCCTTCCCCCGTTGCGGCCCCCAGTCCTGTTTCTCGTTTGTCCGTTTCTCCCTCCCACTGTCTCCTCTTCTCTCCGTCTTGCTTTCTCACCTCCCCTTCCTTCTTCCTGCTCCTTGGTCTCCTTCTGCCCCCGTCTCCTGGCTCTGAGAAGCTGTGACCGTTCTTTCTGCCGTGACAGTGGCCGTGGTCACCGGGTCCCTCTGGCGGCCTCCTCTGGAGCCCCCCTCCCCCCATGGAGGTCTTCCCAGGAGGGCGGCTGGGCCCTGGGCACTGCCCCCCACAAGTCCTCGGAGTCCCCGCCGGTCAGGCAGGGAGAGCTGAGCGTGGCGTGTTGCAGGGAAACCTTTTGAGCCCTGCATGGGCATGGTCTCCTTGGCGGGTGGGGCGCTCCCTGTGCCCAAGGGTGTGCAAGCAGGGGCAGGTCCGGAGCGTGGATGGGAAGGCCCACGCTGCTCTGTTGGGAAGGTGGGTGGCGTCGGCCTGCCGAGGCCAGCCCCGAGGCTGCGCGCGGCTGCTTCTCTAACGCCTTCGCCCTTGCAGTGATGGTTCCTGCGTATTCCAAGCACCGGGCCTATGCCGTCTTCTTTGTCGTCTTCACCGTGATCGGTGAGGGGGGCGGCCGGGCTCGTCCCTCAGGGAGGGTCCGCGTGCTCAGGGGCCGGGGGCGTGTCCCCGCCGCCACTCCCCTCCGTGCGGCCGGCGCCCCTGCTCTCCGGCCCTGCTCCGTCCCAGTCCCTCTGGGCCGCCCTCGGGGTTGGGGGACCCCTGCCCCTGCAGTCTCCACCCTGCCGCGGGGGTCCCCGACCGTGGCGTGTCCTCCCGCAGGAAGCCTCTTTCTCATGAACCTGCTGACGGCCATCATCTACAGCCAGTTCCGGGGCTACCTGATGGTGAGCTGTGCCTGACTGGAGCCAGCCGTCCGTGAGCCCCGGCCCGGTGCCAGGCTCCCTGTGGGGCGGGAGGGCGGGTCGCTCCCTC